AATTGAACAAGCCCTTTGCTCTAACTCTTCACTGCAGGCACTATGCAATAGTCCAGGAAAGGTTAGTAAGCGTATCTATAATAATCATTTTATTATAGGCCAGTCTTTAAAAATTTGGAAACAAATTAAAATATATATTAAAGCTCCTAATGTATATCTTGATAGCCCCATATGTATGAATCACTCCTTCATTCCCGCTCTTAATGATAAGGTTTTTTCGCTTTGGAAACAGAAGGGAATAGGCTGTGTCGGCTCACTTTATATGAATGGGCATTTCTTGTCTTTTAAAGAGCTCCAATTAAAGTTCGGGTTACCAAATTCTCACTTTTTTAGATATCTGCAAATTAGAGACTATGTCAGAAAATGTTTTCCTGATTTTGAACAACTAAAAAAGCATGGAAAATTAGAGGAAATAAACCGATTTAAAGCCGGAAACTCAAAAGCAGTATCATATTTCTATAATGTATTAACTGATCTGGTGGATAGTGACACAACTTCAATTAGGAAAGCATGGGAGGAGGATTTAGGTTTCACTATTGAGGATGCGCAATGGGAGGAATGCTTACAGAATATACATGATTGTTCAATTAATACTAGACACAACTTAATTCAATTCAAATCTCTACACAGAGTATACATGTGCAAAACTAAATTGCATAAGAAAGTGTCACTGGTGTCACTGGTTTGCAATAAATGCAAGGTTGCGAAGGGTACACTTCTGCATTCATTTTGGAACCTTCACAACCTTCACAAGTACTGGACTGATATTTTTGACCTGCTTTCAAAAGTGTATAAAAAAGATATTGTTCCAGATCCAATGATTGCCATTTTTGGGGTGATTTCTGTACCTTCTTTTAGTACATATGAAAGACAGTGTATTTCTTTATTTATGGTTCTTGCAAAGAGATTGATTCTTCAGAGGTGGAAACTTGACATTGTTCCAACATTCGATGTGTTGCTGAGTGAACTAGCGGGCATTATTCATATTGAGAAGTTACGATTTATTAACAATGATAAGCTAGATATATTTTGGAAAATATGGAAGCCTGTATTAGATCACTTAGGAATGTGATAACTTTATTTATTGACGCTGGTTTTTATACTGCATTATACCTTTTGTAACTCTTACATTTATTTACCTAAATATTATCTTGTTATTGTAGTATTTTTTGTATTTACTTATTTATTTTTTTGTATTTTTTCCTCACACCCTGCTGATGTTATCGATGTGGTTTGGTTGGAACTCCTTTATTTTGTGCATCAGAGATGTTTATTTGTAACTACTAGTATACCGTACTATCGTTTTCTTGTTAGACCTTTGTTCTGGAAAAACAAATGTCATATTAAAAAACTAAAAGTTAAAAAAAAAAAAAAATAATAATTTTGATGGCGGATTGTAATCCAGAAAGGATTATATGAAACACTTGTGAATGAAATAAATTATATTCCAGTTTTAAATGTGCTTCTGATTACAGATATCTTGGGATTACACAAGATTTGTATTTTAAAGACAACCAGTTCGAAGGGAGCATAGTTTGCATTTTGACCGGTTGATGAAAAACAAGCTTATGTGGATTCTACACATTTAAACAAGATACATACGTTATCTAGAATTATTTATGGAGCAGATACAATGCATATAATCATTTATTAATCAATTACCCGTTTGACTTAACCCTTATTTTTATTTAAAGGCAGGAATGTGAGGTTTACCTTTTTTATGAAACTTTTCCAAAGCTTTATTGGAACATTTCGTACATGCTATTAGATAAACTGTTATCAGTCATGCTGTCGTGTTATTGTTTTAGTGTTTATGCAAACAAAAATATATATAATTTTTTTATTGTTTGATGATTATAATTACAAAACTTGAAACGATTTATGTGTCAGTACTTTTTGAACATTTCCAACACATTTTAACAATACCGTGATAATACTGATAACAGTGATAATTTCCATACCGTTACATCTCAAGTGCGTGCACTTAAATCCACACCAACGCTCATATTTGGAAAAACGCCTTTGACGTGAAAAAGTGCTTAGCTGTTCTAAATGAAAGGATTTGGACGATGACTGGTGCTCTTTTATATGTTAATGACATTCATTAGGAGTCGTTTGCAAGGCAGAGAGCTGAAACCATTCAGTTGCACGCAAGTTCAAGATCATTTGCGATTCACTGATTTCACATCTGAAAGAGACGCACGTATGTGTGTTTTCTGTGTATATCACACATAAGCATATTTCAGAGATGACTGTAAGATCACATTTAGGATGTTTCTGCACAACATTTTATAAACGAGGCCCCTGGTTTCTAATACACTTAATAAAACAAATTAGGTATACAAACCTTTTGCACTCAAATTGCTAGCGAGATCCACAAATAATAATAAAACCTAACAAACAGCAAGTAACGTAAAAAAATTCAAAATACCATTTTCTCATAAAACTTTTTTTGTTTTTTTTTACAGTCTAGCTCACTATTTTTACTGTATATTTTCAGTATGCTTTAGTCATCTTGTTTACTAAACACAAGTGTCTACATAAAACACTTTAAAAAATTGTAACCACACAACATACTCTATTTTAACTGTTGTCATTTTTCCATTGACAATTATTTCATTGTATGAAAGATGACGTTACCTACTGTGAGCTACAACATTACTCATCGCTTGCATATGCTTCTGTTGAAGCCATCAACCCACATTATTTCAACTTACTGAAAGCAAGAGAACTCCTGGTGGAAAAACTACATTATTAATGATTCTGCACAAAAATCACCACCAATCACAGAAATCAAAACAAGCTAATCCCGCCCACACGGTTCTGTAGCTCCACCCACTCACATATCTTAAATAAAGTCTTTATATCAACACTCTTATATTGCTCTATTTTTATCTCATTAGCAGTGCTTCATGGGATTGTACTTCGATCCTTCATTACATTCATTAACTTCACAGTCTGGTATCCTTTTCTTTTTCTCCATTTGTTTTTTTTAACATTTTTATTTACTTTTGTTTTTATTTTGATTTAATTTTTGTAGTTATATATTAACATTATTTTATTTTTTACTTTTTTTTTTTAACTTCAAATCAACATTTTTAATGTTGTGATTCATCCAGGGGCGTAGCCATCATAGATAGTGTGACTGGAGTAATGATGCTAAAAATGTAGCTTTGAAATCACAATAAATTACATTTTAAAATATATTCAAATAGAAAATAGTTATTTTAAATAGCCTAGTAAAAATATTTCAAAATGTTACTGTTTTGCTGTCCTTTGGATCAAATAAATGCAGGCTATAAAAGTGGGGGGGACACGTCCCCCGCGTAATCTACGCCCCTGGATTCATCCCACAGCTGCTTGCTTTATTGGTTTGGTTTGGTTCACAGCTTCACAACTCTTTAATTAATACTTTTTTTTTTTTTATGAGATTGGGGAATAGGGTAAAATCAATAAATAAATACACTTATTACAAATTACTTACACTTTAAATACATTGCATAAAGGAAGTGCAATAAAATAAACACATAAAAGTGTATATCCGTTCACTGCTTTGAAACAAGCACTTTGTGAAAAGCCAAATAACCCAAAATCTCGACACTGACCGATGCATGAAACAGTTTTTGCCTGTAGTTTTTCACCCGAAGGAACTGAGTCTGCTGGAAAAGTGGACAGCCACTAATGCAGTCTACAAAGGCTGTGAGGACTGCAGAAAACAATCAGATCCTGACAGCTCAAATCTAGCAGCTGAGCACTGTGCTGGACTCACCGCCGGACACGCATCTCCTGGCCATCTCCCACAGGATCAGGCCGAAGCTGTACATGTCTGCCATGATGTAGGACTGGAAATGGCAGCTGTTCAGGCTTTCGTCCAGCACCTCCGGAGGCATGTAGCGTTTGGTGCCGACCCGAATGTAATAACGTTATAAAGGCCACAGATGCATTAGCTGCTGTACCTGATGAATTTGACGGCGAGCCCGAGGTCAGCGATGCAGCAGGTGCCGTTCTTCTTCACCAGGATGTTTTTGCTCTTCAGGTCTCGGTGAGCGATGGCCGGCTTGCCCTGCGTGCCGAAGATCTCGGTGTGCAGGTGGCAGAGGCCGGACACGGCGGAGTACGCCAGCCGCAGCAGCGCTTTGCTGTCCAGCGTGGTGGATTTGAGGTAGTCGTACAGCGAGCCGTTCTCGTGATAGTCCGTGATCAGATACAGCTGCGTCCACGAGCCTGTGCCCTTGATATCCGCCGCGATGAAACCTGACGGGAACATGAGAAACGGACAGATCTGACCTATCACAACTAGTGGTCAACCGATATATCGGCCAATGTTTGACAATTCTTTTATTTCAGACCTGATCTGACCAATCAGAACTAGTCCTCAACTGATATATCGGCTGACATTTGCCTTTTTTTTTCAGATCTGATCTGACCAATGAGAACTAGTGTTCAACCAATATGTCGGTCGATATTTGCCATTTTTTATTTTTGATCTCATCTGACCGATTGCAGTTAGTCCTTAACCAATATATTAGCCGATATTTGGCTTTTTTTTTATTTCAGACCTGATCTAACCAATCACAACTAGTGGTCAACCAATATATCGGCCAATCATTTCATTTCAGACCTGATCTGACAACTAATCCTTAAACGATATATCGGCCGATATTTGGATTTTTTTATTTGGATCTGACCTGACCGATCACAACTAGTGGTCAACTAATATATCAGATGATATTTGCCTTTTTTTTTTTTTCACATCTGATCTGACCGATCAGAACTAGTGTTCAACCAATATGTCGGTCAATATTTGCCATTTTTTCATTTGGATCTAATCAGACCAATCAGAACTACTCCACAACCGATATATTGGCCGATATTTGGGATTTTTGGAATTTTTAATCTGGATCTGATCTGACTATTCATAACTACTGAGCAACCGATATGTTGACCAATATTTGCCATTTCTTAATTTTTTTTTGTTCTGTTAGGCCAATATGTCTAACAGTAGTTGTCAGAAATTGTTGCACTTTCTTTGCTTGTTGATAAAAAACACATTTTCACTTCAACACACAATTTCAGAATCAAGAATATTCCATTTAAATAAATCTTTTTATTTAATTTTTTTTTATTAATTTCAAATTCTTTATCATAGTTATTTACACTTTAATTTAGAAAATATTATGTTATTAAATATTTAATTTTAGTTATGCATTTTTTTTTACTATCCAGCTTACTAAGATATTGGCATTGGTCACTGAAAAATCCATATCGGTTTACCACTAATCAGGAGCTTCCTTACCCAGGATGTTCTCGTGTCTCATCAGGACGGTCTGGTAGATCTCGGTCTCTCTGAACCAGCTGGCCTCTTCTGTGGTGAAGAAGACCTTGACGGCGACCCGTTCGCCCCTCCAGCGGCCCATCCACACCTCGCCGTAACGGCCCTTCCCGATCTGCTTCACCATCTGGATCTGTTTGGCGATGGTTCGCTGCACCTGCAGAGGAGATAATGGGATACATTAACACGAAACCGCAGAATCTGATGTGACGTGTTACTAGATCAGCAAAACTTGGAAATTCAGCAAGAGTATAAACATTTACTACTACAGCTACTTGCACATTTTCACTTCCACATGTTGTATGTGGGTGTTCTATAAGGAGTCCAAAATTAACACTCCAAACGAGAGTCAAAATTGACTTTGGTGAGCCAATAAAACGTATCTGTTAGCTGGCATTTTATGATCTGAACTGATTTCTGCATCTTCTGATTACTTTAACCTCAGCAGAAACATTACCATCAGTAATTTATCTTGGATGGTTCAAGGTGTCTTCAGATTCAATTTTAAGTATGCCTTTTCATAAATATTTTTTAATATACAGTAAAATATTTTACTAAAAACAATAAATATATACTAACATATATATTAATATAAATATATAAAAACTATATATTTATACTTATAAATTAAACTGAAAACACACAAAAATACACTAAAATTATGGGAAAACATGGCTTAAGTATTACAGTAAATAGACATTATAATACAGTAAAAATTGATTTTTTTTTTTTTTTTCAAAGTTCTGTATAGTTGTCAGTTTATTTTTTTAAGTGTGTATATTTATATTATTTTTAGTCAAATATTTTACTGCAGACAAAAAAATGTATGAACAAGTTAAACGTATTTATACAGATTTATTAAAAAAAAAATCAAATTATGACTAAAAAATTTTAAGCTCGTACCATTTAAGTATTATTTTAGCTTTTTTTAACTGCATAATTTTCAGTTTAATTTTTAAATTATATAATGTTATAAATGTTATGTTTGACTAAAATATAATATATTAATAATAATAATAATAATAATAATAATAAAAGTTGTAGATAATCAAAAACGGACAATCAGTCTTTTTGTTCTCAAATTATAATTTTTATACAGCTGATTAAAAAAGTTGATAACTAACTTGTAATACTAGTCTAAAGCAACTGACCTCTGTTAATTATCATTGATATGATCAAATAATAATTCCAACATAATAATTCTAAATGATTCCACTGTTACAGAGACTAAACACATCTGAATCAAAATCATTTAAATTGAGCTATGTAAAAGAGAATGGAGTTTCCTGGTTTGTGTGGAAGGTTAAGACTGGACTGATGTTGTGTTGTGATGTGAGTGTCTGACCAGCAGAGGGAGTCCTGATCCGCTGCCGGAGCTCTGAGACTGTTCGATCAGATCCTTCAGAGATTCTCCAGCGGGAATGAAGCTCTCGTCCTGCTCCAGACCCATGCTGTAGCGCGCCCGCATCCCCTGACGCTGATATCTGACACACATGAAAACACGGGACATGAATTCAAGTGACTGATTCCTGTAAAGAAGACTGCTGAGAGTGATGAGGATGAGGAGGATGCTGATGTACCTGCGGTAGAAGTATATGACGAAAACCAGCAAGATGAAGCAGACGCCCATTGAGGAGAACAGAGCTATGTGATGAATTCTGCTGTCCTGATCTGAGAGACGAAACACTTCAGTCACGTGTGTGTGTGTGAACAGCTTAATCTGAGGTTTATCTAGTTCATCATGACTAGTTCTAGTGCTGAGAGTGATGTGCTGAAACTACTGTCTTAAAGCAATAGCAGCGTGTTTTTCACAGTCAAATGCACAATATTTTGAGGAAAATCATGTTTCTCATTCTGTCGTTCTGTTCTCAGATCAGTGTGTGTTCAGCAGGGAAACTGAGTCGTAATCGATCATCATCTTCCTGCAGCGCTGCGCTCCAGTTTCTGACGGACGACACCGGTGAGAGCACAACGCAGGACACGGCTCGTTGGGACTCTAACCTTACACACACACACAACACACACACATATGTGCACACACACACACCTATGCACACACATTCACACACACACACACACACACATTTAAATACACACACACACATACGTGCACAGACTCTCACACACACATGCACGCACACACACTCACACCTGCACTCACACACATGTGCACACACTCTTACACACACACACATGTGCACACACACACTCAAACACACTTGCACTCACACACGTGTACACACACTCATGCTCACACACACACTCACTCTCTGAGGTCTGAGGTGTCACAGACGGACAGCTATCAGGAAACTGAAGCACTCCCGTGAGATGGCGTGTCCTTTTCATTAGAGCGGTAGGGAACACACTCCCGCTGCAGCGCAATCCCAGCAGCCAAAAAGCTGCGGTTTGTAACAGTTTAACCTGTCAGAAACCATCAGGTCAGAGACTGTGTGTGTGTGTGTGTGTGTGTCTGTGTGTGTGTGTGTGTGTGACGAATTCTGATCATGTAATTTTAGCATGAAGAATTGTTTTACAGAGAAATGTGTATGTATACATGCAATTTATCATGTATATTTGTCTAAAAATTCTATTTAAGCTTTCAGATCATGAGAAACATTTCAGTCTCAGTCAAGCGTGTGACTGGTTGTGTCGTGTAATTGTTGGGCCGTCTGTGTGATGTTGTTATGCTTGGTGTGGTTTTATGAATGCTGCTGCGTCTCACCGGGTCTCTTGAGCGGAGGCAGCGTCGGATGGAGGTCTCGGTTACAGAAATCCTGATCTGTGCAGCATTCCAGGATCCTCCTCAGTCGAGCGTTCCCAGTGTCCTGATGGGAAGAGAGCAGGTGTTCATATCAGACAGACAAATACAGACACAGACAGAGAGACAGAGACAGACAGACAGTCAGTCAGTCAGACAGACAGACAGAGACAGGCAGACAGACAGACACACACACACACACACAGACAGACAGACACACACAGACAGAGAGACAGAGACAGACAGACAGTCAGTCAGTCAGACAGACAGACAGAGACAGGCAGACAGACAGACACACACACACACACACAGACAGACAGACACACACAGACAGAGAGACAGAGACAGACAGACAGTCAGTCAGTCAGACAGGACAGATACAGACAATCAGACAGACAGTCAGTCAGTCAGACAGACATACAGACACAGACAGAGAGACAGAGACAGACAGTCAGTCAGACAGACAGACAGACTGACAGAGAGACAGAGACAGACAATCAGACAAAGACAGACAGACACACACACACACAGACAGACAGACAGACAGACAGACAGACAGAGACAGACAGAC